TCATTATTATAATTATCATTTTAATTATCACTATTACTATTACTTTTCCTACTCTTACTACTACTATTATTATTATTATTATAATTATCATCATCATCATCATCATCATCATCATTATAATCATTTTTATCATAACCATTATCATTATTATTATCATCATCATCATGACTAATACCATTATCATTATTATTATGACCATTATCATTATTACTATTACATTATTATTATAAATATTACTATTATCATCATTATTACTACTATTATCATTCTAATCATTATTACTCTAATTTCCATTGTATTCATTACTTCCTTAATTATTACTATCATCTTCATCAACCATTACTGCAAAGTTTTTATACTACTAAGTGATCACAATTACCATCACAGATATCTATTACTATCTATAACAATATAGTGTCACTAGATTGTAGCAACACCTTTCACAATAACTGTATTAGTAGTAGTAGTAATGATTATCATAGTAGTAATAAGCATTAAAACTGTAATTACATTTGCAATACCTAATACTACCAGTGCTACTAGATCTATTTATTTCCAGAACTACCATAAAAGGTACTTTCTGATACAACCTATACTGTAAAAGACCCACAATAACGGCATTCATATCACCACCATCATCAATAACATCACTATCAATGTTAGCCCTATACCACCATACTTATCCTTGCTGCTAAAATGATATGGACTGGTGGTGGTGTCACTCCTGTTATCATTCTTCTTGATGCTATTTATTTGTTTTTAATTTTCATTATTGCAGCTATTGCAAATTATCAATATCATCATAATTACTCTTGTCATCTTGTTACTATCATTATCATTACTATCATCATCATTAATACTACAATAACTACTGTAACTATAACTGTGCTCAAAAAATAAAATAAATAAATAAATAAAATAAAAAGGGTTACAATACTACAGTAAAACAATATAAACAGGTTTGTAGTTAATTATTTCTCTCTAAATGGACGTCCTAGATGCAGAATCGGTTTCAAAAGAATTTGAAAAACTTTTTCAGTCAACTACATAAACTAAGCATTCTTTAAATCTCATTATTATTACCATCATTACTTTTCTCATTAACATTCTTACTTATTGGAGCAAGAATGTTAATGATAAAATATTATTTCAATCTCTTTTCTCACTACTGTTACATCTGTAATTATAATTAATATGAATATCCTTAGTGGTAAAACTGCAATATATCTATTATCATGAACAACTGACCATTACCTTCAGTATTACTATTGGTATCATACTTAAACTGATAAGAAAATCAGAATTTTCATTATTTGAACTTTTTAAAGGATCTTATAAATTTATTTCTTTTATATGATCATCACTGATTATTAGATAAAATCAGATACATAATTACAGCCATACCAAAATACAGACATACATAATGCACACACAGATAAATACATACACACTTAGAGGCTGACAGTTAGACATACAGACAGACAAACTGGCAAATACAGACAGACAAACTGGCAAATACAGACAGACAAACTGGCAAATACAGACAGACAGATAGACACAGACACACACAGACACACACAGACACACACACACACAGACACACAGAGACACACACAGACACACACAGACACACACAGAGACACATACACACACAGACACACACACAGACACACACACACACACACACAGAGAGACACACAGAGAGACACACAGAGAGAGAGACACACACACACACACACACACACACACACACACACACACACACACACACACACACACACACACACACACACACACACACACACACACACACACACACACACAAAAGTTCAATGCTCTTCCTACATGCAATTTTGGCAAACAATCAATCTCTATCCTGAATGCAGTCCTTTATAATATTGAGTGACATGACAAAGCAAAGTGCCTTTTTATCCCACTCAATCATCATTACAAAACTGTTTCCACAACTTTGTACATCCGACTTTTCATGTCACAATCCAATAAAACGTTTCACTGTCGGACAGCTTTGTTGAACAAGAAACGCACCAAGTTTCGTGCAAAGAGGAAATAAAACCGTTACAGACAACCTCCTACAGTTATTAATCTCAATCCCTTCTGAAGCAGGTGTCAAGACTTCTCCAAGTATCTTATCACCTCCACTCCCTATCAGCCCTCTTTTTAACTCTTGCCTTTAGCTGCTATGTAAAAACCTAAATCCTGAAAATCTTTTACTTGAAAGAATAAGTGCATAAGAATTAGTGAATTAGTGCATAAGCTGGGGAAAAAAAATGCCTAGGATTTTATTTCGGCTCCTCTGTTCCGATTCATTTTTCCTCCTTGAAAGGTCTTTACACAAATTCATGCTTCAAATCCCAAATTCACTTGGGGGGGGATCAAAGCCTAACCACTTAAAGGGGGGGGGGGGGGAAGTACAAATGAATTTTCACAACAATCACACACACCAATCCTCCTTATAACTAGACCACCCCCTGAAGTTCTCATGACACTGAGTATTCCTAATGAGGCACAAGCACTAAGTAATTGACTCCGGTCCATTCATGGGAAAACATGACCACACGCCTCCCAGTTCATGTTGCGCACCTGGGAAAAACAGTCATGTCCTCCCCGTTCCTAGCTCAGTGAAGTATTACCCTATTGCCAAATCTGAACCACTGAAGTATGTTTAATATACTTTACGACAAGATCAACTGCTATGATAGGGCTTACTGGATTTTTCCTTCTTTTTTCTTTATTTCCTTTCTGGAGAGGGAGAACTAGAATATGTAAAAAAAGAAAAAAATAATAATAATAATGGCCAGAATGAACACATGAAATACACTTATTGAGTATGAAAAATAATCCACACACAGGATAGGTCCAACTACAATTGCTTAACAAAGATCGGTGGTGCCATGGTTCGTGGTCTGTGACCTTCATACAACAGCAAGCATTTTATGGCAAGACAGAACATGTAGATCTCCCTCGTGGTCAACTGTCGAAGAAGTATCCGGTCCATGTTCTTGCTAAAAGTACAAGTCAAGGTTTGTTATTCCTCGCTTTCGCACGGAGGGCAAGATGTCCCCTGATGCGCTCCTATTCTGGGTACTTAGCTTTTCTCCTTTTAGCGTGTAATGCATCTATACAGAAGGTTAGTGTAAGGTGATTAAAATCTTAAGTCATCCTGTAATCAATAAGCATTCCCTGACATGTGATAAATCCTCATGCACATTATCAGTATCATCATACAGTGCTATCAGTATTCAAGTATTCAAATTCTAGTTATCAGTACCATCATATAGCATTAGCAGTGTTCTAAAGCCGGTATTTCATAACCCCAAAAGTTTATGACCATTAATAATCCCTATCGCATTATTATTTCAAAACTCAAGATATTTGCTTTTATAATATCTCCTATAATTGCTATAACATGTAAATCCTCCTTGCTATAACTTTTTTATATAACACCTTAATTTCCTTTTGTTTTTGTTTTTTTATATACCATAATACAGATATTTTCATTAATCTTCGAACTGCTTCAGCAACAGCATGCACCAGATATACATAATAGGATATGTAAAAACCATTATATTCCAAAACCAGAGGAAAAAAAAAAAAAAAAATGCAATAACTAGATAAAAACACACAAAACAATCAAACAGGTAATACCAATAACTAATAAAATCTTAATAACTCAGAATCTGCAAATCAAAACCATCTAAACTGCACTTTGCCTTACCCTCAGAGATGAGCTGCCACACCCACATCTACTCAATCCCGTTTTTTCCCGTACAAAGCTCAGAATTCTAAATCGAAACCATGGTCCTATGACACGCCCACCCTGACTGTCAAGCTCACTGATGACATTCTCCTGCTTAAAACTTGCACATCACCTAGACTTAAAGTGCCGCTATAGCACATTGCGGATCTTTTAATCCTATGACTTCAACTGACCAATAGAGACAGTAGTTTTGCCCCTTGAAAAATTATATAATCAAAATAAAATGAAAACCACTTGCTTAAGACTACAACTTCAGCACTTATCAGAATTTCGCAAACCCTTCGCAAAACTTTTCGCCGGTTTCGTCCCAAAGAAATCAAAATCGCTTTTTGAAATTAGTGAATCACTGAATCACTGAATATCACGTTCATTTCCTTTTCTAAAAACGTTACGCCCTATCAGCAGCAACCGACAGTTGCCTGAATATCGAGAACTTTTCTTAAAGAGTATTATATTTCTGGATAAATGTCTTAATACAAGCTCTTACTAAGTGAACTGATACCAGAATAACAAACATGAGAGTATTCGACACTCCCAACATAATTTTAGAAACTTAAATAGGCCAAATATCTATACCAATGCTGAAAATTTGTCCGTGCACAACAGGAATGTCTTGTCATGGCATCAACACACCACGCGTTTTGCCTTCACGTAATGTACTCGACAAAAAAAGGGCAGATTAGAACCACACCAGTTTTTTTATCTACGCAAACACAGGCACTAAAAGGTTTCCAAAAGTAACTATGGCAATCATCAACTTTCAAAAACCTTTTCACACTGACATACCAAAAACTCTGGGGGTTACGAAAAATTCTGCAAGCACTTTCCATGCCTACTACTGCCAGACGCACGACCTGCCCACAATTCCTTTGGCTAACAAAACCAAAGACATCACTCAACCCTAGTCTTTTACAATTGAATACTTAGATCTGCCTGCCTGCCTCATTGCCTGCCCACCTGCCCGCCTGCCTGCCTGCCTGCCTACCTGCTTGACTGCCCGCCTGTCTGCCCGCCTGTCTGCCCGCCTGTCTGCCCGCCTCCCTGCCTGCCTGCTTGACTGCCTGGCTGCCTGCCTGCCAACCAACCTGCTTGCCTATTTGCTGTCTGCCAACCTACCTGCCTGCCTGTCTATCTGCCTGCTTGCCAGCCTATCTGTCTGCCTGCCTGAGTGCCCGCCCGCCCGCCCGCCCGCCCCCCGCCCTGCCCCGCCCCCGACACTCACCCGACCACCCCCAGGTCGTAGGAGGCTTCGGGGCGCCTCCAGGGGCATCCTCCGAAGCGCCCGATGAGGTTCTTGTGGTTCTGGTTGAGGCCGTAGGTGCTGGCCCGGTTCTCGCGTTTCCTCTTGGTGCGGTTGTAGTAACTGTTGTTGACGGTGTTGTTTTTGTTGCTAGTCCTCTCGGGGGCACTGACGGCAATGAACTCGGGCGCGGCGGCGGTGGAGGCCGAGGAGGAGGAGGAGGAGACGTTGTTGTTGTCTGCGCTGAGGTTCATGTTGTCGAGGCCCTGCTGAGCGGACCAGATCCTGGCCCACAGCTCCCTGGCTGGACCCTGCTGTTCCGGCTGGTACCACCCTATGCTGGGATCCATATGACCCTTGCGACAGCCACGCGCACGCACACAGCCCGTATGCACCTGTACCCACTGTGCTCGACACTTCCAGGCATTAAATTGGACATATAATCAATCGGTTCGGCGTCGAGGCGAGAGCGACGGAGGACACACGCCAGAGCCAACTGAATCTGCACGCACGCGCACGCCCGCCACGCGCGCCCTCGGGCCTCCTGGGAAATTAAACCGGGGCTCCAGCGGGGGTTTTAGTTGTATTTTCTCAGATCTATTAATTCTTCTCGCTTTTCCGAGTTCTAACTTATTTTGGTTTGATTCTTTATCTGCTAAATGACTATAGTTTTTCGTGCCAGCCCGGGCGCCATGTTGCCAAGTGTCCAAAACGTCCATGAGGTCGGAGACGTGGCAACGCCGCGCTGAAATGCGATCGCGGCATGCAAGGCTGTGCAATGTTGCGCATCCAAGGGAAGTTGCATCTGATCTGGCACGTAACTTTCTTGATCTTGACCTCTCGACCTTACCTGACACCAGGAGACACAATGAGTGGGTAAGCTTGCCTCCGGGTGAATGACAGGAGCGCTGGCCTGAGAGGGGCTGAGGTTCTCCACGTCTTACTAGCAAATTCTATTGCCTGTCGCGGTCGTGTCTCTCGCTGAATGAGCACTTGCTTAACACTTATTTCGAAGGACAGGTGTTACATTTACAAAGCCGAGAACCACAAGAAGATTGAAAAAATGCGATACGCCTTACAGTTGCGTAATCTTTTTTTTTTTGTTTTTTAATAAATCCATAATAATTATGCATAATTTACAAACCCACCTTTCTAGAAAATTCTCTTGAGTGGAATCATGTACTTCATCGCATCAAATAAGCAAAAAGTGGATTATTTCCGTAATGACAGAGAGAAAATACATATAAACACAAATCTCGCTTAAAAAAACATAACGATTACATAACAGGAATAAGATTTTTTTTTCTCCTTAGTATTCACGCCTTGAAACTTTTTTAAAATTTATTATCCGTCATTTAAACGCATCAAATACTAATAAATTCTCACCAGTGACTTCACAGACCAATACATTTTGCCATTAACTCTGATTTTTATTTTATTATTATTATTATTATATATATATCAAAAGGTCAATGACATTCATATTTTTTAACGAAATCAGGTTATAAATTTTCAGTGACACGCTAGAATTTATGGCATCATAATTAATGGCATTTTGAACGAAATCAATTCATACATTTTCAGTAACATTACTTTCTGACATTATAATAATAAATAGTAACAATAGTAATAATAGTAACAGTAGTAGTAACAGTAGCAATAGTAGTAATAGTAGTAAAATTAGTAGCAGTAATATTAATAGTAATAATTGTAGTAGTAGCAATAATAGTAGTAGTAGTAGTAATAATAATAGTAGTAAGAATTAGTATAATTGTAAAAGAGAGGAACACAAATAGATTTCGAGGAAAAAAAGAGAAAAAGGAGAAAATAACGAAGAAAAGGAAGACAGAAAACAAGAATTTCAAGAAAAAGAAAAGGAAGAAAATAACGAAGAAATGGAAGACAGAAAAAAAAACAATTCGTGGGAAAAGAGAGAGAAAAGGAAGATGAAAATAGTGAGAATGTACAAATGGCAAGTAAAAAAAAAACGATAAGAATTAGAATCATAAGGAAAATTACGTGAGAGAGAGCGAGCGAGCGAGAGAGAGAGAGAGAGAGAGAGAGAGAGAGAGAGAGAGAGAGAGAGAGAGAGAGAGAGAGAGAGAGAGAGAGAGAGAGAGAGAGAGAGAGAGAGAGAGAGAGAGGAGAGAGGAGAGAGAGAGAGAGAGAGAGAGAGAGAGAGAGAGAGAGAGAGAGAGAGAGAGAGAGAGAGAGAGAGAGAGAGAGAGAGAGAGGAATAATAAGTAGAAAACTAAAGAATTGAAGAATAACCAACTATGAAAGAAAATTTATAAACAAAAACAATAAAACAACGAATAAGCATGGACGCAACATTAAGAATAACGAAACATGAAAGAAATTTCAGGAAAAATGATCGACCTCAACGATTCAACTTTTCAATCATAAGATATTTGGAAATGAATGAAACAGCGATAGAAAGAACAGGCAATTCGCAGAGACAGCTTGTTGCTAAGATAAAGATGAATGGCTTTTGAATGAATGGCTGGAAATTGAATCGTTAAGATATTTAAAAGCTAAAAAGTAGTTAAGTGGCTCTAGTTATTGGTGATGGTGATGGTAGTGATGGTGATGATAGTGATGGTGATGATAATGGTGATGATTATGATGATTAATAATGAAATCATGATCATCATTACTATGTTATTTGTATTTAACCGTATTATCAATTATCATAATCATGATCATCATTATCATTATGATCACAGCAACAGAGACAAAACAAAACACAAGAAAATAAAGTACAAAAAAACATGCAATAAAATGTTCGTTGCTCCGAGGAAATACATTAAGACAAAAAACAAAGTTCGGAAAGATGTCAAGAAAAAACGAAAATATTTATAAAGTTTCAGTTAACGGTCTATTTCCTGACTGATAACACGCACGCGAGAATTCATTCATTTTTTTCGGCGTAAAAATAGTTTTAAAAAATCAGTTGTTTTTCCCTAATGTGTTTATTATACAGTCACTAACCTTATTTATTCTGTTTTTTATCTATTTGTTCAGTTCGTTTATTTTTCTTTCTTTTTTATATTTTATTTTTGTTTTTATAAGCGTAAAGGAATTTTTTTTTTTTGTAAGTATTTGATAACATAATTTGGAGTATTTTGGAATATGTATTTAAGGATTATATATATATATATATATATATATATATATATATATATATATATATATGTATATATATGTATATATATGTATATATGTATATATATATATACATATATATGCATGTGTGCGTGTGTGTGTATATGTGTGTGTGTGTGTGTGTGTGTGTGTGTGTGTGTGTGTGTGTGTGTGTGTGTGTGTGTGTGTGTGTGTGTGTGTGTGTGTGTGTGTGTGTGTGTGTGTGTTTACATGTATATGTATATATATACGTATGTCATAGTTGTATTGAACTTAGTATACATAATTTTTTTAAAAATGGAAAGCTATTTTACTTGTAGGAAAATTTTCATTAACTAGTAGGAACAGTGGTGTATGGACAAATTTCTAATTCCTAATGTATTATTATATTAAAAAAGTATTGTTTAATATTTCTGCATGAATTAGAACATAATGTATATTTCGTTTATTTATAGTGCGATTCCTTGACAATTTTCCAATATAAAATATCTGTCCAGAATTCCCAGATGTTGACATGACCAAGATAAACATATCAGCAGTTAGTACGCAGTCATTTATGTGAAATTATTTTATAATCTAATCAGGAATGTGAGAATTACATAATGACAAACAGCAATCATTGCCCAAGATGGCGGCAACAACAACGCACCTAAAATATATATTTCTGGCCGACATGTATTTTAGTTTTTTTTGTTATTGTTGTGAATTGTTTACCGCTGTAAGGGAGACTTTTTTTTTTACTCTGATAATTGTTGTTATTATTTCATTATTTTTGCTATTACTGTTGTTGTAGCTGTAATATCATTATTATTGATATCGTTATCATTATTGTAGTTATTATTACTACTATTATCATCACCGTCGTTATTATTACTATTATTACCAAATTTATCATTATTATTATCATTATTATTATTATTATTATTATTACCACTATTATTATCATTATTTTTATCCTTATTATGATGATGATTATTATTGTCATTATAAGTGTCATTATTATTATCATTATTTTTATTATTATTATGATGATGATGATTATTATTATTGTCATTATAATCGTCATTATTATCAATATTATTATTATTATTATTATTATTATTATTGTTATTATTATTAATATTATCATTATCATCATCATCATCAATTAACGCGTGATGTAATCTTAAAACGAGACTAGAAGGGCCACCCTGTTCTTAATAATGCTATTATTGGTGTTAAGAAAAATGTATCCTGCCTTGATTGATGTTATTTGTGGGGGTTTTTTCGGAAAATGTGTATATCCTGTGGCTATTACGCGGGAGACAACTGTTTAATTAATATGGCTTTTGTGCGATATATATAGTCAAGAATGTGAGTCAGTTTTAAATGTCATCTCTCTTTCTTCCAAGGAAATCGCGCAAAAAACAGGAAACGAAAGAAAACGAAAAATTGAAAGGAAATAAAAAGCCTTGCATTAAAAAAATAAACTTTTTTGTGGCGAATTATCCCTCTGAATAAACAATTTACAAATAACAGTATCAAAAATAAAGAAAAACAAACAAACAAACTTATATGAATCACACGCAACTTAATAATGTTAACAGCTCCCTCCTCCCCTTCCTCTCTCCCTCCCCCCTCCCTCCCTTGCAAAAAGTGCCCCTCCCCCCTCCCCCCACCCACTACCCACCCCCAGTCAAAGTTATTTTCACAGGACATACATGTTTATTTATATTATGATGAAAGAATAGTAACGTCACTCCTACGCTCTTGGTGCAGGTCGGGTGTCAGAATTTTTCGACCGATTTTCTGCGGACTTTCAATTTTTCTCTTTCCGTTTATCGGTTGTTGTTTGGGTTTGATATTGCCTTTTTGGGTCATTAGTATCGTCTCATGGCTGTATGTTTGCTTCTGTCACTTGCCTGTCTGTTTGTCTGTCTGTCTGTCTGTCTGTCTGTCTGTCTCTCTCTCTCTCTCTCTCTCTCTCTCTCTCTCTCTCTCTCTCTCTCTCTCTCTCTCTCTCTCTCTCTGTCTCTCTCTCTCTCTCTCTCTCTCTCTCTCTCTCTCTCTCTCTCTCTCTCCTCTCTCTCTCTCTCTCTCTCTCTCTCTCTCTCTCTCTCTCTCTCTCTCTGACTATATATATATATATATATATATATATATATATATATATATATATATATATATACATATATACATATATATATATATATATATATATATATATATATATATATATATATATATATATATATGCATACATACACACATACATATATGTATATATACATGTATATATATATACATATATATATATATATATATATATATATATATATATATATATATATATATATATATATATGCATATATATATATATATATATATATA